ATGTCGTCGATGAATACTATGACAAATTTGTCAAGGTATTCATGGAAAACTTTGTTCATGAGAGCCATGAATACTGCTGGCGCATTTGTGAGTCCAAACGGCATGACAAGGAATTCATAATGCCCATATCTTGTTCGAAATGCAGTCAACGGTATTGTACTTTCTTCTACTTTTAGTTGATGATACCCAGATCTCAAGTCAATTTTGGAGAAGACTGAGGCCCCTTGTAATTGATCAAAAAGATCATCAATACGAGGTAATGGGTATCGATTCTTGACTGTTGCTTTGTTCAACCTTCTGTAGTCTATGCACATTCGCATAGAGCCATCTTTCTTCTTCACGAACAAGACCGGTGCTCCCCAAGGTGAAGTACTGGGTCGTATGAACCCTTTGTCTAACAATTCTTGCAACTGTTCTTTGAGTTCTTTTAGTTCTACTGGCGCCATTCTGTATGGTGGAATTGAAATCGGAGCAGTACCAGGTACTAACTCGATGTTAAAATCCACCTCTCGTTCTATGGGGACTCCGGGGAGATCATCAGGAAATACATCATGAAATTCATTCACGATCTTGACTTCCTCCAGCTTTTCCTCATTCTTTGTCTCCACTTGGACGAGGAATGCTTGACATCCTTTTCTCACCAAAGCGTATGCTTCCATTGCCGAGATCAAGCCCATTGGTTCGGACTCTCTCCTTCTTAAGCCTTGGAACACGATTTGTCTTCCAAGTTCGTCAAATAGACGCACCTCCTTCTTCTGGCAATCCAACACAGCTCTGTGTCGAGATAACCAGTCCATGCCAAGTATGACATCAAATTCTTTGAAAGGCAGAATAATTAATTCTGCCTCCAACTTTACTTCTTCTATCTTAATACAACAATTAGGCAGAATTCGATCTACTTTTACTGAAGTACCCAGACGTGTTCGTACACCTAGACTGGTACTCAACTTTCCCGGCATAATAGGAAATTTTGATGCACACTTCTCCGATATGAAGGAGTGCGAAGATCCAGTATCGAATAATGCATATAAATTCTGGCCCATAAAAGAGATCGTACCGGTGACCACATGTGGAGCGGTCTCAGCAGCACCACGAGTAAGAGCAAAAACTCTGCCCTGTGATTGTGTTCCCGCTCCTTGTCCTCCTGTTTGGGACCCTTGTTTTCCCAGCGGATAAGCATTTGCTCCAGTCCCTCTAAAGTTGTTGTTGCCACCTTGACTTCCTCTTCTTGTCCCGCTCCCAGACGGAGCTCTTGGTCCTTGCACAGATCCCATTGACTGCGTATGTGCAGCACGACCGGAAGTACATTGATAACTCTTGTGTCCAGGTTGACCACAAGTGTAGCATACAATACCCATAGATTGGGATGCCATTCTGCACGCCCCCATGTGCATCCTCCCGCAAACTTGGCAAGGCGGGTATCCGGCAGGTCCAGTGTTGGCATGTGTAATTGAACGTGCAATGCCTTGCCCGCTGTAGGTTTGGTTTAACCTTCGAGCCATGTTATTTCCAGCTGATTGTGAAGGCTGGGTGTGTGCCTTCCTCTTTTCGCCCTTCTCTTTCCATGCTTGCTTCTTTTCATCCTCTATGCATTCTCTCCTTAGTGCAGCCTGTTTGATACTGGTTAGGTCAGTCATGTCTCCCGAAGATACTCCCGCCTTGATGTTCGGCCGAAGACCATCAAGGAATTGTTCAGCTAGCCTCCTCTCCCGATCTTCCTCGATATCGAACCACTCAGAGAGTTCAAAGAATCGCAAGTAGTAAGCCATGACTGTGTTATCTCCTTGCTTCAGGTTGTCAAACTCTCGCCTTTTCTGGTTTAGCCATTGTCGAGGAAAGAAAGCATTTTTGAATACGACCATGAACTCCTGATATGAGATGGTTGGTGGAAAGGTTACTCCAGCCTTTTGAGATTTCCACCAACGCAGCGCATGTCCTTTTAAAAGCATTATCAATGCCTCCAGTCTCTGCCTCTCGTTGTAACGGAGGTAGTCAAATTGTACGTCCGTCTCTCTAAGCCAGTCAACAACTTCTTGGGGATCTGTCGACTCCCCTTTGAATTCGCGTAGACGGTTTTTCCACAATACTTCCATCATCACTCCCGTCCCTTGTGGATTCCCAGCTGGAGGTGTGTAGCTGTTATGCTCCAATTGGTCACTATGGAGGAGGAAAAATCAATTTTTAGTTCTCGTTTTAAAAGGTAGGTTTAAATAAAATCGTAGGAACTCTTTCCCATTTTGTTTAAAAAATACATAAATATCTTTTCAAAACGATGTAACTGACTCAGACTATGCACACATCATCATGTTTTAGTCTCAGTCCCCAGCTAGGCTAGTGCCAGTACGGGTATGGAGTACTTCTCCCTTGCTAAGGGTAGCTAGTCCTCAGGGGTGGAAGTAACATACCTATAATGCAGAAGGCTAACCAGGCTCTGATACCAGTTGTAACACCCACCCGAAAACTCATGGGTCGAACCACTGGTTCGCCCGCACAGCAGAAAATACTAACGGGGTTTACGTATTAACTAATCATTCAACACATATGCAACTTTCGTTTACTAAACATAACTCGAGGTGAACATATATATATTTCAAATCTAACACATTTATTAATATCCAATCTCATTTATTAAACATACAACATCCAACTCATGACATCAAATCCAAACACTTGTTCGTTGAAACTCAAATCTCCATCTTACATACTTTGGTACAATCCATAAATCATAATAACTCAATCGATCAAGTTCGATGCAATCAAATCCAACATAATACATGTTTATGATACTTGGTTTAAAACACAAAACATAGTTAAAACTCTCCTCCGACCAATCGTCCGCTACCTCATGATGGAGTAGCAGTTGCACAGCTCCAACGTCCAAGCTCGGTCCCTCTGCTACGGATCTGAACACAAAAGGGGAATGGGTCAGCTAACTAATTTAGCTGAGTGTGTGGCGCTGTTCCCTCCTACACGGCGAAGTTTATGGATACGTTTTCCACATCAATCGATTAACCACCTAATCATGGCATCTAGGTTGAAGTCTCAACCTAATATAATTCTCAACCCAGCATCCAATATCCAAATAATATGCAAGTGCAATGCATTTCCATTTTATTGATTTGGCGCCAAGGTCACCATACATCCACCCCCGCTCGAGCCTCATCATCTCAGTGGTTATATCAGAAACCACAATCATATCTCTCTGGCCACTGGCCTCATCGATCCTAATGATCGTCAGTAATGATATCAAATGGTTGGGAATGCAGGCCCTTTCTAAGTCAATGTGATCAATATGAACATCATATAAAATCATCATTCTCATCATAATCTAATATAATAATCATCCATCTCAATCGATCTTGGTGTAATTACCAAGTCTATGCCATAGGGTAATTTGTACATATCATGCATACTAAATTCATCAAATCATCCATTCAATTATCGAGTAGGAATTCATTAGCAACCATCATCGTTATCGTACATTCAACGTATAAGGTGGACGGTTTGAAATCCTCGTACATGGTTCGTTAACCATTAATCGGTGAAAATCACCGTGTAATTTGAAAGGCGGACCCGCCGTGGTAAAACTCCGAGAAGAGGAATGAGTGCCACTACTCGTAGTACACTTCTTACAACCATATTCCCAAAAGATTTCACCGGGTGAATTCCCAGGTAAGTGGACGAGTACCACGAAGGTCTCGATTAAAAACCACTAGCCTAGACAGAATTCTCCCTTGGTAGCTGTCCATTATTCAAATTTTCACGAATCCGATTGTGGTTTAACAATTATCCCAAGTAATCGTATTAGGATAATTATTCAATCGCCGGCGTAGTTTCACATAACTCATGGCCTGATATCACGTCATGAATTATTGAAATAATTACAACGAAGTCTCAAGGAATTTCACGATTCGTAGGGATCAATTACAAAATCGTAAATTCCAAATACTCGATTATGAATCATCCAATTCTACTCGAGTACCCAAATCATAATAACGACATTCTTCATTTTATCTTCGTTAAATCCTCAGCTATGTTTCAATATTAAACATATAGCACGTAGTAAAACACCGCCTATTCACCGCAGGGTCCACACACCTTATTTATGACGTAAATCAACTCTGCACAGCTGTTGTAAAAAAATTCCAATACTCCTTGATAATATTCTCCTCGTCTTTACGATCTGCGAAGGACGGATTCCGGCTCCTGGACGTTGATCGGCACTTCTCCAAACTCAAACTGGCCTCCAAAGATGTTGAAGACCAACCTAGAGCACTTGGGAGCTCTTGCTCGTCACTCTCTCACCCTAGGAACTCACTTCTCTCTCAAAAACCGAATTGTATGAATGAATTGTATGAATGAGTGAATATGTTGGCCTTCTTCTTCTTCCTTTTATAGGCTGCCTGGTCGCGATACCCGGTCGAAATACTCGGTCGGGTATTTTGGATTTTGGCCGGGTATTATTAAACTAACCGTTCTTTTAAGGGGAAAATCCCCGGTCGGGCCTACAAAATCCCCGGTCGGGCCTAATAAATCCCCTGTCGGACCTAACAAAATCCCCGATCGGACCTAACAAATCCCCGATCGGACCTAACAAAATCCCCGATCGGGTATTTAAGAAATATACCCGGCCGGGTATTTTTGGTCATGGCCGGGTATTTTCTTCCTCCAGCCCACTTCAATCCTCGTTTGCTCCTTTGGTTTTGGCGTTGAGTCTTCGATTATGCTTGGGAAAAACATTATTCCATCTATCGAACCAAATTGATTTGAATTAATATCCCAGGTTTGGGATGTTACAGATAAAGTAGGGTGACGCTGATTCCCGAGTTGGCCAATGATAAATGGGTAGGAATGGCAGGACCTAAACGAGCTAGGCTTCGTTATCTAGTTCTCCTTTTAGAAGCTATTCTTAATGCCGCTCGGGCTCCCCTCGATCCGGAAGGTATGCCACTTCAGCTACCTTCTATACATGTCTGCCTCCCTTGAAAGCTCCTGGTGCTGCGACTATCACCGGAAAGTTGCGTTAGATCAACATCAAAATCAACTGTAAAAGCAACTAAGTCACGAGTCTTATATACTGTGTTACGATCACCTCATATTGATAAAAAGTCCAGAGAACAATTTGAAATTGAAATAAATAAAAAATTTCTTGTCATAAAAACAGAAAGGCATGAATTGCGCAAGAAGTTCTTTCGGTTAAAACGCCGTGCGACTCGGAGGACATAAGACTTATTGGTCAAGCCAAAAAGATTGCCGACAGGATGCTCCTACCCCACCATGCCGGGCCCTTTACCTTACCTTAAGAAGAAAGAGGGGGGTATGAAGCGTGGCAAAGAATGCGAGAAGTGTATGATACAACAGGTAACCTTAAGGAGTGGCGGCAAAGCTCTTGATTGATCAACGCGAGTGAACTGTGCTTAGACGCTTCGTAAAACCGCACCGATCTACGAGAAGAGCTGATGGATGAGTAGGCTTCCCTTTTTTATACACGGAATGTGATCTGGGACACGATGGGAGTTTGCGTGCCTCGGTAGGAAAGAGATCACCGGAGTATAGCACAAGATCGCCTTTTCTTGCTGCCATGGGGTCGACCTGTAAACAAGGTAAACCCAATGGGAACCAAAAAACGGGAGGGTACCGCATTGGGCAGAAGATGATCCAAAAAGCGAAGGCTCACCCTTTATAAGAAAGGAGCGAAAGTCACTCGCATTTTAATTAGAAAAGAGGAACGAAGTCACTCGACCGAAGGTTTATCATATGTTCAACCGAAGGGGAGTGGAGATATGTCTTCCTTCTGCAATCGTCTTGGTTGAGGATTTAGATCATATACCCTATCATCTGAGATGGCTGCAACCTTAAGTTGCTCAAAGATAGCGGGTTGCTCAGCTTTCTCGGCTTCATAGTTGGCTCCCTCAGAACCATTACTTTTCTGGTCTCCTTCCCACTTCGGAGGTCACAATTTGCAATTCAATTTCATGGATTTGATTGTGAGAAATGGCAGCTTGTGTGATGATGCCCATCCATGTGGTCTATCAATTGATTACTTTGCAACCCTGATTCAATGGATGAGAATTTCTCGGTGGTCTCCTCCATAAACCTCTCTATCTTTTTAAATTTTTGAGAACTCAAACTCACAAAGGCCGTCACAAGCTCTTCAAGTGAAGAAGTTTTGTCATGCTGAGGTTGAAGAGAGGGAGACGTCATGGCTCAAACTGGAGGTTCTTGGTCGAATTATGTTCCCCTTGCCAAACTAGAATGGTAGCAACTCTTCATATTATATGCACTACTAAAGGGGTTGTTGTTATAGTCAACCCCAACCATAGCCTCTTGCGGCCATATCTTCAAACAATGTGGTCATTTTGGGGGGAGTCATGTTGATCATGTTCCCATGACACAATCAATGAGTATCGGATCTTCTAGAAGCATCCGATATTCATCCTAGATACCATGAAAATGTATGTTGTCCTGAATCAATATAATGAGGCTGGGCTTTATCTGAAAGTTGTTAGCTGCCACGGGCGGATGCAAGATGCTTGATTGAATATTCGCCGCCAATGGTGGCATGTAATAGCCCATCATCCTCGGTTCACCATCTCCTTGGACATTACCTTCTGCCATCTCAATGTTCTCAACTCCAAACTCCTCTTCGAAACCAACCTTTTCTTCCACTTCCTCTTCGGGAGCAACTTGTGGTTGTCCTTGATACGCTAATCTTTCTCTTGCCTCCCTCAAACTCTCTCTCTCTCAAACCAAGAGTCGGAGAGTTCGGTTGATGTTTTTATCTAGTGCGCCAAAGGTGTCAGATCACTGTGGGTCATACACCCCCTGCACACACTTCACCAAACATAAACAAGTCAAGGCAAGCAAGATTCACACTACGCAATGCAAGAAATGAAAACCTAGAGTAACAATAAACGAATTTTTATGAATAATAAACTGTAAAATCTCCCCGGGAACGGCGCCAAGAACTTGACTCGAACCTAACTACACAATTCCCAATCGATGGCCAAGTATAAACAACAACTGGGTGCAAAATAGGGAAAGTGTTTAATTATCTATCCGAAGCGGTCAATGTACCCCTACTTGAATCTTTTATTTATTATCTATCAAACGGTTTGTGGTGAAATCTAAGAAACTACAGTTGAAAGCAAGAAAGCAAAGTAAAGTTGCGGTGAATTCTATTTGAGAAGGCTTCACTCGGATATTGTTTCCCCTAGTTTTGTGTCTAGATCAACGAATGGAAATCTAGTGTGTGAGTGTGATCATATACCATGAGGAAGTTGATGCAATTAGTTAGGTAACCCAAGTCTCTTAATCGATTAACTAAGGAATGTCAAGAAAAACTAGGAAGTCTAGTCCTTTTAATCAATCGACTAAGGATTGCAAAAACCAATCCCTCAGAGGTTAATCCGGAATGGCAAAAAGAAATCAATCACGATGAAATCATGACACTTATTCGATGTTTGAGATTTGTCCTTAATTTCCCTAGAAGGGGCTACCCAAATTGCCACGGTGTGGGCTATGAGGGGATTTCCTCCTTCTTGGTCAAATTGACCTAACATTGAGAATGATGAACAACACCCAAGATAAATGAAAAATAACTCAAACATCATATCAATGAATAACCCATCACATAAAGATTTAAACTCTTACAAACTAACACATCCTAGAGTAGGGTTTCCAATATCCAAGTGAAATGGGAGAGTACTTCATAGCAATGAAGGAAAATACAATAAAGATGGAAGAAAACCCCATTGGGAGATAATTCTCTTACTTCTAGATGCTTGGTTGACCCTTTGGAGAAGAAACCTTCATACCTCTAGCCTTGGGTAAGCCAAAGCCTCCTTCTTCCTCCCCTCAGCTCGTCACTTTCTCTCTCTATTTGAAGAAGAAGACCCCAAATGTCTCTCTAGAACTCCTTTAGGTTTGAGCTTTATCTTCTTTATATACACCATTCTAGCAGTGGTCACTGTCTGAGATCACGCCCGTGATGTCGAAGTCTTGCCCTCATCTTGGCACAACACGCGCCATTTCATTTAACATCACAAGCTGCTGAATATTAGCACGGTTTGGTGACCATGATGTCAGACTTGCCCGCACGCCATCCGAAGCCTCCTGGAAGTGTTCCAGCATCACAGCAAAGTCCATCTTCATGGTCCGGTGCCCATGATAATGCTCCCCCGTACGTGAGCTTCATCTTTTGTCCATTCTTGCTTCGCTTTTGCCCTATTTCATTCAACTTTCAAACCCTGAGCTAATTTCACTAAATTAGATCTAAAGCACTCTAAAACATGCACAAACATCGTGACTCGCCACTGATACACAATGATTTTAATCCCAACTAGAGCTCAAGCATAAACTCTAGCCGGTTGCAATATAGGGCAAGTATGTTTTAATTGTCGAACCCGGGCTGGTCTATGTACCCCTACCTTCAATCGCTTAGTTTGTTATCTAGCAAACAATTTTGGGTTTAAAACTAAAAAAAGTACAAATGAAAACAAGCAAGTAAATTGAGGTTGTCACGATGAGAGAAGAGTTCACCCGAGTATTGCTCCCCTTAGCTACATATCAAGATCACCCAAAATGAATGCAGATGTGTGGAGGTGTGTTAATACACCGTAAGAAGGCGCAACAAGTTAAGAAAACCTCACTCTCTTGATCAATCGGTTAAGGAAAACAATTAAGCTAGGAACCTTAGCTCTCTCAATCAATAGATTAAGGATTGCTACAATAAACTAGGTAGTCTAGCTCTCTTAACCTTTCGGCTAAGGATTGCAACAATAATCCAAGAGTCCTAGCTCTCTTAACAGATAAAACGAAGGGTTGCAAGACCAATCCCTCAGAATTTAATCTGGAAGGCAAAGTAGCACCCAAGCTAAAGTGATAAATCGAAGTTTGAGGTTTGCCCTAATTTTCCCTAGGTAAGTGATTCAATTGGCCAAGGAATCCAGCTTATCAAAGCCTCCTAACGAAAAGGAGAATTCCCTCTACCTAGGTCAAATTGGCATAGTAATGATAAATGAAGAACACAACCCAAACATCATAAAAATACCTCAAACTTTGCATTAGACACAAACCCACACACAAAGCATTCAATTAATACAATCTATGACATATTTCAAGCTAGGGTTCACAACACCCAAGTGAATAGGTAGGCTATTCCATAGCTAGGCAAAGGAAAACAAGAAAAAGGAGAGAAAGATCCACGAAGAGATGACAATCTTCCTTCCTCCTTGCTTGAATCTCCCTTGAGAGGTAAGAATCTTCACTCCTCTAGCTAAGGGCAAGCCCAACCTCCTTCTTCCTCCTATGAATGGCACTTTCTCTCTCTAGAATAGAAAGAGTAAACCCTAATCTCTCACTAGAAACCATCCTTTATTCTAAAAACTAAAACCCTATAAAAATCTCCCTTCTTCCTCCTCACAGCTCCATATTTATACCCAGTTGCGCCCAGTTCACAGTCCCAGGTCATGGTCATGAACTAATGGCGGGGACCGTGAACTCAGGCCAAGACGCACCGTTCCATTAAGCCAGTTCGCGGTCCATGGCTTTAGTTCACAGTCTTGTGACCATGAACTGCAGCTGCTTGCTGGACGCCTGTGCTTCACAGGCATGGGGCAATTGTCACGGTTGACTTTGGACTTTTCTTCGGTTTCTGCTCTTTTCAACCTCTAATCTTCTTGAAACTCGTCCTCAACCCTTCCACATGTGCTACGACCTGAAATGTATCAAAACAAGCACAACCTAGCATGAAATATGTCGAGAGAAGATGAAATGCAACGCCAAACTATCAAGAAATGAGAGGTGAAATGTGTACAATTGGACCCGAATAACCTAGCGTAAAAGTGGTCATTCGACGATGCAAATGACACAAACATCACAAGATAAAGGGGGTAGAAACATGTGCAATTAAACCTGAATCAAGACCTTCTACAATGGGTTATTCTAAGAAGATTGCATTCTTATAGACTCAATTTGTCAATGAGATATGCTAAACAAGATGCCTTGATAACACCAAAATTGGTGTTATCTACCCTACATATCTAGGTATGTTTTGAGCCAATTCATGTGCTTAAATGCTTGAACATCATCAAATACATCCCTATAGCATTCCTATTTGATTTTGATATGATTTTAGGGTGTATTAGTCAATATGTGCAAATTAGGTACAAAACAAGGTGACAAGTGTAAAGAAGGGGCAGGAATTGAGGAACGTGGCATAGAAGCCAAAGATCACGGCCGAGATCAAAAGCCGGGAAGACTAACTAAAGATCATGGCCGAAAAGCCATTGATCGGGACCACGAACTTGGAGGCCCAGGCCGCGAACTTCGCGTGGAAGGAGCCTTAGAGACGCAGAGAGTCTCCCCAGTGGTATCACGACCAATGTTCATTTTGTCTACGAGGAAGATCGAAGCCACGAGTTTTGGATCGTGACCACGAAGTTAGCCCGCGATCTTCCCCTTTCCAAATGCCTTGATGGCTGCATTTTGAGATCACGGCCCAGAGACCAAAGATCCCGCCCGCGATCAACTTACCTCAGGCCGCAAACTTTCCCAAGTCTAGAATGCCTATAAACACAAGACCTTTTCCCCCTTTAAGCTGAGCTAATTTTGAGAGAAACTTTCTGGTTCTAGAGAGAGAGAATAGAGAGAAGCTGAAGGAAGGAGAAGAGAAGGAGAAGAAGAAGGAGCTAGGAGAAAGGAGCACAGAGGCATCTTCTTCAACCCCAAGTCTTCTTCTGTTTCTACCATGTATCTTCTTTCCTCCTTTATGGAGTATTCCTTTAAGGTACTAGGGGTTCTAAACCCCAAACCCTAGTTTTAGGGTTTACTATGTATATATGGATATTTTAGGGTTTGAATGAATGAATGTGTTCGTCTAGTTGATTTTAATGCCACTCTCTCCTAAATGATGACGATACATCTCGCAAGCAACCGACGAGGGACTCCACCCTTTTTCAAATCTTACTTAGGATTGAACTCCACGAACATTCAAGCTCCTCCAGTCATGTTGAATGCGTTACTCGCAACAATCCATCCTCCCCAAAAGAACGATGTAGCATCCCTAGAAGAAGAGGCAACAACTCGTCAGATCCTTAAACAAAGCTTCAAGGAGGTGACTCGTCCCCCATCCTTCAATTGTGACACCGCGATTAATCTTCCTTCTGAGTCGACAATAAAGAGGGGAACCAATAAGCTACACGGTTTTCACTTGGGTCTTCACTACAAGGGGGAGTTTGATGATACTACCCTCGATCTTCCCCTTTCCATAGGCCTCGACGACAGCATTTTGAGATCACGGCTCAGCGACCAAAGATCTCGCCCATGATCACCTTACCTCAGGCCGCGAACTTTCCCTAGTCAAGATACATCTCGCAAGCAACCGATGAGGGACTTCACCCTTGTTTGAATCCTACGTAGGGTTGAACTCCAAGAATATTCAAGCTCCTCCAGTCAAGTTGAATCCGTCACCGGAACAATCCCTCCTTCCCAAAAGAACGATGTAGCATGCCAAGAAGAAGAGGCAACAACTTGTCAAATCCTTAAACAAAGCTTCAAGGAGGTGACTCATCCACCATCCTTCAATTATGACAGCACGATTAATCTTCCTTCCGAGTCGATAATAAAGGGGGGAACCAATCAGCTTCACGGTTTTCACTTGGGTCTTCACTACAATGTGGAGTTTGATGATACTACCCAAGGTGAGAGGGATCCTTCCACATGAACACCTCTCTTGATCTTATTGTCCGGCAAAAAGACTTAAAAAATGCACTCATTTGGGAAGTACCCCAACACTTTGGTTTGTTTTTCCTCTACTTTATCTTTTAAATAAATTACCTTTTTTAGAGTCTTTTAGATTAGGCCTTAGTCAAGTACTCTTGCTCTCGGAATTGTCTTTTAGAACTAGGGGAGGTACTCTAAGGAAGCACTTGATCAAGACTTGAAAGGAAAGATCGCGACCACGATCTTGTGATACGAGCCCGCGATTCTGCCTGTCCTCGGGGTTTAAATACCCAGCGGGTGAGCTGTGCCAATTGTGTTTCCCTTGTACCTCATTTTTCAATATTCTTGGATAGTGCTCTTCACTAGCACGGCTCACTACCATTCTCTTTAAAAGGGTATGACTGAGAAATTTATTGTTGATTTGAGTTGAGCTAAATCAAGGAAGTGTCTTGCCAAATACATCCTAATCAAAGTAAGTGGCTTCTTTGCATCCTAAAGAGTGGTATTGGAAGTTCCTCTTGAATTTTCACCTTGATGTGTGCTTATTTTGGTTTGAGGTAAAATGCTTCCCTACTCCTTTTCCTTGCAATTTTGGGGTTGTGATTGACTTGTTTGACCCGTTGAGGTTCATGCGCGTCATGGTTGTCCCTTATTTCTATGAAATCCCTTCAATCAAGTTGACCTAATGATATGCCCATAAGGATAAAATGTATTAGAGAACAAAGAGGGGAAGAATGGTTCTCTTTCCCTTTCTTTTGCCCTTTCTCTTGTTGCCTTTCAAGTTGAACTCTCTTTGATCTTCCCACTGCCTCTTTTAATCGTGGAACTACTTCGACTTTGCTAACTTTTCATCCTTATGATAATGATATGTTTTAAGCTTTGTTAAGGATGGGGAAATCAAAGAAAGTGCCCGAGTCATCGACCTTGATCAAGGGTGGGAAAGAGGCACCTCACCTATACATTGACTTCGGAGACAAGGACAAGGACGAGTATGCACACTTTGCTTCTCAAACATATGGAGAGCATCGTAGTATCTCTTGGGAAGTTTTAAAAGGATTTGGAGCCACCGCGGCCATTCGAGATCTCAGCCAAGAGCCGGCTTGGCCTAAACTTTTGGCAATCAACGAGAAGATTTATGTTGAAACAACCTTTGAGTTCTTGACCATGTTGACTTGCTCAGTGCTCACCATCAATAGACACTTTCCAAGAACTCTCTCATTCAGTATTGTGGGTGTACCAAGGGTTATGAGCTTCAATGAATTCACCGAGGCTATGGATATTTACCCTCCTGGTTTCATCTTCAACCAAGAAGGCCTTGTCCTCCACGGAGAAGAGTTGGCCTCGTGTCATCATCTGGAGGATTTCTTCACTATCCATCTTAAAAGTAAAGACCATCAAGCACCTTTCAACCCAAAATCTACAAAGAGTACATCCTTGATGCCCAAATGGCGCATCCTTCACAACATCATCTCCTACTCGGTCACTCCTAAGGAGAAGTCTACGAGCAACTTGACCAAGCGAGATCTCGACCTCTTGAGGTCAATGTTCATCGAGCCCCGCTTGAACCTTTGGTTGGTCATTCTCAAAACTCTATATAAGGACATAACCAATCTGACAGTGAAGACCATCCACTCAGGTGTTTACTGGGGATCACCTATCCAAGATGCATCTTCTGGAGACTACCAATGGCAAGAAGACCATCAAGGGTATAACCCTTTGACCACCCAACTTTTTAGCTTCAAGGGCCTAAACCGACTTCCTCATTCTCTAGGTCTCATGCCTCCCAAATTGCAACCCTCATCGAGCAGAACACCATTCTCATTGAAAAGAACTCCAAGCTTATTGAGGATCATGGGGAGATTCAATTTCTATTGAACCAAGAGAGGAATTCCAAGCATCACCTCTTGGGGGCGGTCCACATGTTAATAAAGAAGATGTAGATGGGTCAGAGCTAAGTTGAGCAAGACTTTCCACTTTCACCTCCGTCAGTTGGTAACCACCTTGTCTCGGAAGACGAATGCCATCTTGACAACAACTCCAAGGAGGAATGAGTTGTAGGCATCCAGGGCCTACTTTCTATCTTTTATTTTTCTTTGCTTTTCTTTATTTCAATTAAAACAATGTTTAATTATCACTTAATCTTCTTTTCACTTTTCGTACTTTAATTACTGTAGCATTGGTAGTAGTACACAGAGTTCACGGACGCGGACTAATGTTCACGGCCAAAAGCTGGGGGCGTGAACTGGGCTTGATCTGAGTATAAATAGATAGCTGAAAGAAAGAAGAAGGGAGAGCCCAAACTGAGAGAAACCTTTTTCTTCTTGAAACCGTAGAGAGAGAAAGCACGAACCAAGAGGGAGAAGAGGCTAGGGTTTGCTCCAAGTGAAGATTTTGGAAGTTACTCTTAAAGAGAGGATCTCTACAAGCACAAGGAGAGTTGGAGGCATCACAATGATGGTTTCTTTTTTCATCCTTTTTGTTCTTTCTTTGTCTAGCATGGAGTAGTTTTCCTTTTCACTTGGGTGTTGTAGAACCCTAACCTCTATCATGTATTTGATTGTGTGAATTGAATGATTGTGTGATGGTGGCATTTTATTTAAGAATTGAGGTATTTTTTCATGGTGATTGTCCATTGTGTGTGCTTGGCAATCTATTGTGGGATGGCAATGGGGCGGGTTTGTCTAAACCATCCCACCTCCATCAAACAATTTAGGTGTTTCAATGGCTTGAGTGCCCAGAAACCCTTTCTAGAACATACACTTAGACTTTTGTGGCCACTCTCTACTTTTATTTATCCCGTTTTATTACCTCTTGTTCGTTTCTTTTTTTTTAGGGGGGTACTAAAGAGCTAAACACATGCCACATCTTTCATTTAAAGAACAATGCTCTCCTTTTAAGAACTTTCATCCAATACTGCCTTCTTATTTCTAGTAAGAACCGTGCAAAACCTCCTATGTAGAACCTCAATGGAGCTCAAAATCCAGAACTTCGAGACACAAGGATGACTCAGACTTTCACCCGAATAAAGGATGGGTGGGGGCCGATCTTTCAATCACAATTAAGCGCAATGAAGCACGAAGCTCCTAGCATTAGAACGACCCCCAAAGTCACACGGCTCAAAGTTGTTGACTAGGGGATAAAATATTTATGTACAATCAACTTTTGGGTGTGGACTAATCCTATGCCTCCATCATACTCACTAGTGACAATGGTGATTGTTACACACCATGGCGAGAGGGATCTATCACACATGAAAAATAAAATCGGCACAATACTCAAATGGCTACCTAGCCGCCCAATCGTCTATTCCAATTTCAAAAACTTCAGTGCATGGCAATTGTAATCAAGAAGTAACCAAGTCAAGACATCCATTCATGTAAGCACACACGAGAAGTAAGCTTTTGCACAATCCTAATGCATTCTCAGTCATCATAATAGGATGCACTCAATTACATGCAACAATTCAAGATCGATGCCAATTAAGCACGAGATTCCCTACTAACCAGCCATTTTCATCATGCATTTTCTTGTGATGATGTGAAGCAGGGAAACAAGGCGGGCATCTCTGCCAAGCAAGGAAGGAAGAAAGTAGCTTGGAGGGAAATGATAAGTCATGTTAATGCCCGATGGAAGGAAAAGGGCAAGGAAAAATTGATCGGCTGAGAAGTCCATCCGATGGAGCTTAAGTTGGGAGGCAACATCCCTCGCCCCGAGAACGTGGCGGATCCACTCTCTGTGTCATCATGTTCCAAAACATGATAGATCCGCAAAATGAAGCTAGTGACGTTAACTTAGCGCTTGTTGGGAGGCAACCCAACGGAGTTTTGGTTTCTTTTCCTTATTTTCATTTTTGTGTGTCAAGTGAAGAGTTCTAGTGGTCGAGTGGTATCCTCATGCCACATTTTATGGTTGTGCGTTTTAAGGTTGTGCCGTGATCAATAGAAGGCACGGTCGCTTAGGTCGAGTCAATTTTTTTCCAGATTCACGGACGGATTTCCAAGTTCACGGTCTTTGATAGGGCAAAAGCGTAATGGCAATTCCTATCTTGTAGTAAAATCGGAAAGTCCGGGTATTGTCTCTCAGGGACTGGTACAACCTTTTATTCTATCAATTTATAGAGCAAACTATAGGTGAAAATGGTTTAATGAGACTAATTATCTAAAAGCAAAATAAACTAATTAGGCAAAGTAAAATGTTCGGGAGAAATTCAATGGAGAAAGCTCTAGGAGAAACACCGGGATTCACTACCTATCCTATCCAGATTAATTCACATATTCCAATCAATTTAATCCAACTTTCTACAACCAGGATATCACTACTGTGCTAGCTATCCCTGTCGGGAATTACTACGTACTAAACAATTAATTCAAATCCTACTGTCGTAGCTCAATGAATTAACTATTTAGCCTGAAGATCGAAATCCTATTTAAGACCGCATAGCACCTTATTTAATCCACTGTCGCTTCGATAAGTTACTATGTCACATGAAATAGGTTCAGTTATTAGGGTTTCACTGTCGCTAATAACCTAATTAACTACGATTCATTGTATTGGTGGCCGGTCTGTAACACCCTACCCTATACGTATTACCTAATCATATTGTTCATACAATTGCAGCGGAAATAATCTCGGGTGTTATATTAATTATCAAAATTTACCCAAATAAAATTTCGACATGAATTACTCACGTAATGTGCTAACAGTTCTTCCATATGATCCTGCAAAATAATTCATCTGAATCCATGCATTCATAGACAACCACATATACTCACAACCATATGCATTGGCTTTCATAGCCATAGTCACAGTTTCATACTACACAACTGCGTACTATACTGATACATGCTATAATTATCACTACTTACACAACCACATAAATATACACATATCATTAACTTTCCACACCTGTGGATATCTCACACTACATCAAAAGCTAGTATGCATATGAAAAACATTCTCAAAACATTTTTACAAAAAGGTGTGGATCACTGGCCAAAATCCCGAGTAGTAGTCCAAGCACAGGATAGTTGAAGACCATACCTCATCCTGCCTTCAACTCTTGCTCAGCTCTCACCTATACACCTATCTACTGCTGCTGCTGATGATCTGCTTACACATAGCATAAGCAGAGAAGAAGAATAAAAGAGGGTCAGCTCATAGCTGAGTGAGTTAATCATAGCATCGTGAGTTCATAACAGAGCATACCCCTACCATACATCTAGCAAACAAGCCAAAGCACTGGGATCAGATCTCAGCCCTACAACATCCCAATAGGCAAAAGACTCAACCACCTTGACTTATGCATATGCATCTTATCATGTTTTACTTATAGGCGCCTGGCTACTCCCATGCTAATAACTCTCCCGGGAAACATACCCCACATCCCGTCGGATGTAGTCATACATACCCCAACATCCCGTCGGATGTGGTCATACATACCCCACACCACTATGGGTGTAGTCATACCCCGACACCGCTCTGGGTGTGGTCATATCTCGTAAAAGTTCTTCAGTCAGCACCACATGAGAGGTGTGACTATCATACATATCATAATAGAGTAATAGCATAGGGAGCCCCAATTACTATGTAGTTGACCGTGAGACCACCACACTCATATTTGGTATCCTTATACATGATTCATATCTCATCTTGCTTAATCATAATTCATTACTTGCACATGTACTTGACCTGGCCATAATTGGCTCAACATAGGTAAATCAGGAGTCGTATTATTGCACTTCATCGGGATAAACCCTCGTGCAAGTCATCCTCCTTAAACATCATAATATCATCATGGAATATATATTTTCCCACTTGTGCATCCAAATACAACAATCATGAAAAATCATACCTAATCACCTTCTCGAACCATCGTAAAGCATATTAATATTCAAGCCCACAATTTGCAACATATACACAATCATCAGCATAAACAAGGTTCATATCGATTAGGGCAAGTCAATAATATCATACAACAATCCAGGGTTCAACATATAGCACAAAAGTTCATACACCCCTAATCATGCCATTCTAGTTCACCTAGATCAATTCTAAGCATCAATATAATTATCGTGATACGACAAACCTGGTATGCCGTGCTAATCCCTCACCAGTTCTGGTCGTTCAAACACCGGTTTAACCTTCCCGTACTAAAACGTCAATTTCACGAACGAACCCCAAATTAAAATCCGAGACCGTCCTAATATCCCCTGCAGTATCCCCGTCAATATTAGTTCTGGGCTCCGGGTCAAATTCTTGATAAAAACACATCCAACCCTGGCCGGAGCTAAATTCAGCTGTTTGGACCGGCCTAAATAATAACCGAAATTCAGGGATTAGAACTAGAGGATTGATTACCTCGCTGCAGGAAGCTCGTATAAGAAATTTGGGCTCAATCCGGCTTCCGGATACTCCGAAACCCTAATTTGGCTTATCGGGAATTCAAGAAATTCTTAAACCAAAAACTCGTTTTAAAGCTCTAAATCGATAAATCACGATGTATAGATGAATTAGGCATTACTTACGGGATTTTTGGATCACTGTAGCTCAAGAATTGAGCTTTGCAATTTAATTCTTCGAGTGCCCTGTGCGCCTCTGTTTCTCGGTCCGAGAATGGACAAAGGGATGAAGATGATAATGGACGGGGGAAAGTTATGTATATATGCCGGCCGCTTAACTAATATATATATATATATATATATATATATATAATTAATACGTATACTTATCCGATCGATCGATAATCCGATTTTCATCGAAATACTGTTAAAACGCTCGATTTTAAATCGCAAACTTTCAAGCGATCGAAATATGGGTTTAGCCAAAATGGGATGTTACAATTCTTCCCTCCTTAAAAGATTTTGTCCCCGAAATCTAACCTTGAGTCGATGGTACAAAACCGCTCGTTTCCCCCCTAACCTACACTATCACAAATCTTGTTACTACCTTACTTTAAGGTTAGGAGATTCATAACATAGAGAGTAACACATAACACCTCAAGTTCCCATGTTTAGGTTTGAAAAACCTATACTGGGCTATCACAACAAAAGCACATCAGCAAGTTCAAAACATAACTTATTAGGCAAGATTGTTAACCTGCAAAGTAGGTTGCTACTAACTCAGGGTACTTC